AAAAGTTTTAGCAATCGTTTAGCAAAATCTTAGCAATTTGGAAAAATTTTAGCAGAATATGTCGAGGAATATCCTAATGAATAGCAGGATGTGCCAGGAATTACAAATTACATAATCAGCGAACTCTCGCGAATTTTCAGTCGCGTTCTCTCTCCTTTTCTGTCCCTCTACCTCTCTCGTCCTTCCCCCTCATTCACTTCCTCCATTTATTCTTCGACAAATCGGTCGCTCGCAATGCGCCAAAGATACGCAGTTCGTAGCGATGTTTGCGATCTCATCCGCTATTCCTCCGGTCCAAGAATCGCTTGGAAACGTCATGCCGCTTCCGGGAGTGCGGCAACGAACCCTGCAGGCACAATAAAACTGCACCTAAACAACGTCAGCGTGCGGGCGGGCAGGCGAGGGGTGAGAAGCGCGGGTGGAGAACGGGAAAAGGACGAAAGGCGTAGGAGAGGAGAGATCCGAGCTGCATCGTTACAGAAAAAGGTTGGGTCAGAACGACGGTGGTGAGGAGATTGAGGCGAGGGGATCTGGCGCGGAGGACGTGATCGCGTTAGCAACAACCGTCGAGGAAGGTGGGCGTTTCGAGCGATCCGGTTTGAATAAGTAGTTACCGGCCTAATAGCAGTGCCGGACTGTGACGATCGTTGAATACCGAAATTTTGGTCGGGCACGTCACGAGCTACCAGCAGATTGCACGAAAAAGGGCCGAGAAGGGTGGCCGAACACAAGGTCGGTTACGGATTTAGCTTAGGTCTAAGGCATCAAACCGCTATAAACACCTCTGATCGGTTTTCATCGCGGTCACCCTCGGGTATTCCGGCATTCTCTTCGTCGTTGGCTCGTAGTCGAATCGTGGCATATAAAACCATCCCTGTCCCTTTGACCGGTCATAGACCTCCTTCAGTTGTCAGTTTTTCTCTATCCGGCACGTAATGGCGAAATAAGCTCCGGGATGCGCGTCGCAGGTGGTCCCAATTCATATAAGAACTGTCGCAGAGGTAGATCTGACAACTGGATTGCGTTCGCGAAGTACAGTTGGGTGTTCGAAGGGTTGCGCATACGCACAACTTCCACGATGTATCATATCCAACTAACTCGCTCGAGGTCCGAGTCTCGGAACTCGGTGGCGAGTTCCATTTTATGCACAATACGATTGAAACGAATAAAGAGCATACATGCGAAGAATGCCTTTCGAGGGAAATACAGTTTTGCATCTCGCAATATATACTTAATGGTAATTGGTTAGTTAACAGCCCGTTAACGACTAACGAATGGAGTATTAAATGAAATAGGATTCCTTTGAGCGCATTTTCTCTTCTGAAAGCGAACTTTCCGCTCGTGTATTCTTTTTCCCGGCCATCATTCCGATTTTTTCCGCTTCACCGATCTAAGCAAGGTGAGTGGGGAAACAAGTGAGCGTGATGCAGGATAAGACCGGAGAAATGCCGTCATCTTCTCTTTCTTCTTCCCTCGAAATCACAGAAAAATGAGCAGCGCTGCCCGTGGCTATCTCCTCGTTCAAAAATATCAGTGGATTTTCGTGCGAGAGAAACGGGGACGCGGGTTATCAGGATTACAATTTCCGTGATTTTCACGCCGTGCCGTAGCTCCCAGAGACGCGAAATCTCCTCGCAATAATGAATTCATCGTGAACTGGTAAAACATCAGCGAATCCCCTCGATTCTCGGAGCAACTTACTCACCTCAGTTGACTCATTCAGTGGGTTACGAGTCTTATTAAACTGCAAGTAAGCATGGTTTACGAGATTGCACCTCTTTTAAATTTGGAACTTTGCTTCTATCGCGAAAGTTGGGTTTACGCCGATCGTCGAGAAGTTTATCTTTTAATTTTTTCTCATTCTAGTTTAACGTGTTAATTTTCTATTCCCTTCATGGGGAAAATTATGCTTTCGGTAAGCATGGATATCCTTGCGAGAAAGAAAGATAGATTCTGTCATTATAGGATATTTTCTGGTACATACTCACGAGTAAAAATTACGACTAATTAGAAGAAACTTATAGAATAGCGAGATTTATTGCCTAGAGCGTCAATGAATCTTTTCACGTGAACTCGATTTTACTCATTAATCGTATAATATTTTTCTCCAGCATGAAATTATGAAAAGTGAGTAACTCGCAGTACTCGGAGGCGATCATGAATCTTTCCCTCCAATGTAAACTCGTGAAAAGTGAACATTCCCATTTATTTCCAAGATTAGATTTTTCACGAGTTCACACCAAGGACCCCAAATGTAACGTTTGGACACGACTATATTTTGAGAAGATAATTCTTTTCAGATGCGACATGACAGCGCGTCGTATGGATAAAAGTTGGAAATAAAGAAGGTTAGAAAGTTAACAATAAAGAGATCGTGATTATCATTAATTATATATCGTGTATCTCGTTAAATTTTTCCGCAGTCACACACAAACGGAAAACAGTTTTCTTCCGTCGCTCTGACGTTAAAACGCTTTCCGCCGGAGCTACAGGCGCGACAAAAATCACTCATGAACGCGGACCTTAATTCCATCGGGGACCACCCTTTTTAAATGCGATACGTAATATAAACAGAAAAAAATATATATACATATCCTTCAACACCGCGACGGTGCTCATGTGGACGGCGGTTATTATCTCTTCACAAATTACATCGAGGTAACGTACCAGGGCTTTTGGTCTCAGCCGTGATAAACCCATCCACTCCTATCCTCCGCTATGCTCGTCCCAGGCCCCCTCATCTTCCCGTCCCCTGGCCTCTATTATTTTCAACCGCCCAACTTCTGATATACCACCTGCAAGCCCATTTACCTTAGCTACTATGTACGTTAGACAACACTTATTACCCAGGTAATACAATCGCATAATGCGTCCCTCGTCTTCGCGCCCATGATAATGCCTAATTTAATGGCAAGGAGCATCGCAATCTCGAGTCTAACGAGAGATCACTATATGGATGTTACGCGCTGACGATCAAATTAATTTACAATTATGATTATAGCGATATCGCGCTCGTTCGGACGCGTCCTCGCTTCGCAGCACGAATCCGTATTAGACTGCATTTCGAGTAATCGAAGCCGAGCTTGGACGAAATTCAAGGCGAACGTTTACTTGCGCTTATTTTACATTCGCTTCTCAACAAGCGCGAAAAATTCATCTGATATTTAAGATTCTGTGTCGGTGTGAATGCTCGTCAACTGGGAGATTTCCTGAATTATCGAGAAACCACGTTCCTATGGAAATTGATATTCACTACGTTCCGAGATATTCGTCGTTTTAATAATACGATATATGTCGATGCGCGGTATCTCATTTAATTTAACATGGTGAATGTGTGTGTATGTGTGTGTGTGGTGCAAAAAGTCGAACACGGTAGAGTGACTAACGAGAGAAGTTCAACGACCCGTGAATTCCAAAAAATTTGGAACCTTGCACAAACACAGAGTATAGCGCAACTCGAACGTACAATTGTTTTTTTGTTACAACCGAAAAACAGATTTTGAGGATAAAAGAAAAGTCGATTTCAAATTGGTCACACAATATATCCGCCAAATTTCACTATTTTTGCTTTTTCCTTTCTTCAGAATCATTTTGTGTACCTTTCAACGGTACTGTAATGCACTTTCCTTTGTTTTTCTTACGATTCTTTTGCAGCTGTCTATCGCAAGTACGCCAGCGATCAATTTATATAAAATATTCAAGCTTCACGACCGAGGTGTGTTGAAACGTAAGCCTCAGCTGCTTAACTAGCTTGCGCAAACGCAACGCTGCCGGTCTCCTTACGCGTATGCATATACGCATAGGCATGCACGCACACATGCACGCAATCGTGGTATATATTGTGCGTGGTGGAAGCGCGTACGCTGAGAAATTGTGGGGACGATCGATAACCGAACGCAACGAACCGTTGCGAGTATCGACGCGACTCTTCCGCGTCGGTCGCGCTCGAATCGATAACACTCGTGTTAAACGCATCAATTCTCCCGATATATTTCGGATCCTGTTTCTGTCAATCTACGGCGACGAAACGAATTATTTCCCTTCCCTCGTGAAATCAAATTGCACTTAAGAAACGAAAATTCGAAATTGTTTTTCCCTGCTGAGCGATACGCGAAATGCGAAATACGGATGTGTGATTTGCAAGATAACAAGGTATTACACGAAAAGAAATGTATTGTTTAATGCATTTCGCATTCTTTCTCGCGCTCTTTTACGTGCAACGAGTGATAGAATTTTGCCGACAAAATTGGTGTATATATCCCAGTTTTGCAGTCTCAAGTAGAAAATCTCAAGCTATTTTCGTTAACGATAATTACGAGTCCACTCCGTATGATCAAGAACGAAAAGATCTGCCGAGGATTGAGAGGAAAGTTCCTCGAGGAATTTATTGAAAGGCTGAAATCTCCGCGCACTGGATATACAGCGCCGCTGGAAGAAGAAAAGTTTCCTTTAACACTTTTAATACATCAACGGAATGAAGCATTTAAAAATCCGAGATAAAAACACACCGCGATTCGGACGAGTGCTTTATTTTATCTCAAATTACTGTTTCGAGTTGAGCAGACCGCGGGAAGAGACAATTAAAACTTTAAGCTGAAATAGCACCACCGTCACCGTCACTTGGACAAACTGAATTCTTCGGACGGTGGAAAGCTTTCTTTAGTTGGAGCAACAACTCGCTCAAAGAAAACTTACCGCGATGATTTAAAACGCCTCGCCTATATACTCTCTCTTTAAGGGGCGCTTATATATTCCCATCTACATGCGAAATCACTGGCGCTCCAAGCTTTACGCACGCTGAAAATATAAGTGTTTTCAACTCGGCGGCAAATGCCGGATTACTGGCGATTACAGGGTGAATTTAATTTACGAAATTTTTAACTCGTATTAAAAATGTATATTTCTCGCTGCAGTGTGCGTGCTTGCGTGTATGTGTGCACGAATTAAACGTTACGTCGCCACATATTTTACTTCTCGTTTGTTTTGTTTGCCTTTTTTAGTAATAGAGGATCAATCGGACGCTCAAGGAACGACAAACGAAGACATCGAGAATCCCGTAAATCATGAAGGTAAAGATGGGATCTCTTTGACGTTATGCGAATAAATATTCGGTTTATTCCTACAACGTACACATACAAATAATCGTTCTTATAGATGAGAGCGAAGAAGACGATGAGGAGGAAGAAGGGGAACCTGTTTTCCAGGAGACTGATTTCAAATTGGATGAATTTATTCAAAGGTGCGATATGAATAGGGTCGAATTATATAAGGTGTCCGAAGTCTGAAATTTTATCGTATTCCTGAGACAATTAAGCATTTATAACTTCTTGCTCTTGAACATCAGTTACTTTACCAACTAAACTTGAAAATAAAACTTTGTTGAAACGAAGTTCACTTAAAATTAAATGAAGAGAGGAAGATCCGATTAATTTTTTATGTCTCGTTTCTCGTAGAAGGAATTAAAATAGTCTCCGGAGTTTAAATATACGATACATAAGAGATAGTAAAGTAAGAAAGACAATGGCCCGATTGAAAGTGGCATCTGATTCAAAGGTTCGCCAATGTGAAAGTCGTCAGGGCTTTGACGCTACTGCTGCAACAGTTCGAAAGCAATACAGTCGAAGTAAATCACTATATGACCAAAATGCTGCATCGAATCGCTTGGACGTGCAAAATGCCGGCTATGATATTCCAGGCGTCCATCTTTCGGGTTTTTCAAAGGATCCTTGAGTCAAAGGACCTTGTACATAAGGTAACACGACGTACAGAGCGCGCAGTACTAATGAAAGAACTGCACGTCATATTTTCCATTCGTTTCGCAAAATCGCTGACGTGACTTCGTACTTTCTACGGCGTTTGATATCACGTCTACCGGTGGATACCTTTCCGGTAGATTTCCTTCTTTTCTCATCGTAACTGAACGCCATCGACGATCTCCGCATGTAATAAGAATACCATGGATAACACTTTGCTGCTTCTCACATAGCGATAAAAATCTACTCCCCCTTTCTTATGACCGCGCGATAAATTCCCACCACCGAGCTTTTATTGCATCCATGTATCGGCCTTGATGGCTCGCGGAAGTGGACTCGTCGAGCAGCGAAAAATCGATTCCTGCTTTAAGGAGCTGCAAAAGTTCGCGGTCTTCATAATCCGCCGTTTCGCCGAAGTCGCCCAGAAAAACCGGAAGTCGTACATGGAGCTGCTCTTCTGGAAGACCAGCCGTGACGCGACAGAAATCGCGGATGGCTACAGCGGAGAAACGAGTAACAAGAAAGTTTCACGAGCAGTCTGGACCGAGGCGGAAGAGGAGGAGCTGCGTACCCTCTTCATGGAGCATCAGACTAACAAATACTCCCAGGGTAAACTCTTTATATTCTCCATTTCTCATGGAAGTTTGTTGAATCCGATAGATTAGTGTATCATAGTGCGAGGAGGCGTCCATACCTTTCTCTTTCTTTTTTTTTTATTTTTTTATTATGTATTGCGAGACGAGGATACCGTTTGAAGAGTACAGTGTCTGTCTATAACTGCGACTTACACCCCATAACTTTAACTTTGTTATCGTTTGTAATCTGTAAAAAACATCATTCACACTTGAACATCGGGAAAGTGGAGAAATGCGAGCTATATACGCACGATGTCGTAAATTTGTAGACTTAATCGACTGGTTGTTGGAGCATATCATCAACGAGAACAGGACGCGACGTACCGTCATCAAGAAACTCAAGGAAATGTGCTTGATCGTGAATTCCAAGGTGAGTTTTTTCATACGGTTCACTTGCGCAATCACTTTAAACGCGATCAAGTAATCGAGAATCTTTCATCTCGCTCGAGAATAATTTAGTTCATCTCGAAAGAGTAAGATCTTCCTTTGCTTCCGCAAGGGTTAAAAACAACATTGAAAGATTTCGCAAAGATTCCCGCGGCCATCAATCCGAAAAAAAATATCGGGCCATTCGCGCGCCCTCGCGCGGCAACCCCCGTCGTCTGACAAGATCAATGATTTACGAGTATCTCGGAAGGGCGGTAGGTCGGCCCGGCCTCGAAAATAAGTTTCTAGACCGGCTTCGCTGACGGGGCGAACATATGCAAAAAATGGAGCCGGGAATTGCTACAGGAACTGTAAATTCTCCGGAGACAATACCTTACGGGGCGACCCTCCTCCGCCACCCTCGCATTTCTGCGTTTCGCCTTCGTCCACGAACCCGACGTGATCCACCGCGCTTGGGTTCTTTTACCGCGGGGTAGTTTCTTTCTTTCCTCAAGAGCATGGAAATGTCTGTGAATCTCCCTCGTCAACCCGCGGCCCTAAAACCGGCGCCGTCTCCTCCTCGAGACACGAGGAGCTATCGTTTTGTTTGCCTTTTGCCCCACGACATACGTATAAACATTCGCGTCGCCCTACGGGGTACGAAAACATGCGGAGAGGGAACGTGACGTCTAACCCGTCTCGCGTTGTGTTTGTCGAGCTGTGGATGTGCGTGTTATTAGCAGTGTTCCGTAATTTCCATTGCCTCTCGACAAGGTACACTGAATCGACAAACGTTTGAAAATATCGCGTTTAGTTGATTCTTTGACTGCATATTGTATTTCTCCACCCTCTCTCTCTCTCTCTCTCTCTCTCTCTCTCTCTCTCTCTCTCTCTCCCTTTCTATCCCCCCTCTCTCTTTTTCCTTCTCTTTTTCTCGGATTTTATTTGGGTTTCCTAAAAAAAAAAAGAACATCTCAGAAGACGTATTAATCTCGCTGAGCATGGAGAAACGTTCCCTCCTTCGTCGTAATTCTTTTCTTCGGAAAATGCACGGTGCAATACGGTGATAAAGCATGGGAATGCGTTAATCAAGCTTCTTATTGCGGTGGAAGAGTTACTAACTAGTTGCCGGCTTATTTAAAACTTAAAATTAATTGAGTTTGCAGGGAAGCTCCTCTAACAAGCGAAAAAAGCGCGGCGGAGGGGAAAGCGGTGCAGTATACAATGCCGGGTCTTATTCCGCCGCGCTTTTCGCAAGCGGAACACAGTGTAAAGGATTCAGCGGGAAATTTTCGCTCGCACGGCGAAGACGTCAGCGTTTCCGTACGCTAACGGTCCACGTTGGTAACTACTCCGAGACGAAATACTAACCTTTTGTCATACGAATGTTCATTCGAAGCGGACGTCACTTTCGTCGGCTTCAAGCTCTGTCTTGCCGTCAAAAAAATAAGGGCTCTACCACTCGCTTGCCACCCCGCGCCGTTCGTAATTGTTTCTTTCAAAAAACAGCGCGCCAGATGTGATTAATCCTTCAGCAACGGGAACGCGCGATGTTAACCAGCCGCGCGGCCGGAAAGGGGAGAAAATATCCCTTTCCCCGCCGATCTTAATTTGCTATTAATCATGCGCGCGTAGTCACTGGCGAGGAGGGTAGCTGCGTCGGCGAAAACGTTTCCTCCGTTACTATCGATTCCTTCGCGAAGGTCTTCCGGGGAAGGAAGGCTTAGCCGCGGAAGCGTTTCATTTAAATAATTTCATGCGTGAGTACGTTTCGTCTCTTCGAGCGCGGAGAGGTCGACAGAGACTGCGGCTCGGGTGTTCATTTGACATTCATTTAGTCCATGGAAGTCGTGCGATATTGCTCGGCAGCCATTTAGGGACCAGGCGTAGGGGCTCTGCTCTGTCGAGAGTGAAGCGTAATCGCTGGAAAACGAGCGACCTGGCTTTCGTTTTTGGTTCCTTTTTCCTTTTTCTCTTCTTCTTTTTTTTTTAATACGCCTACTGACTTAGAGGAGCTTCTTTTTCAAGGATTATACGCGGAACACTCCGTCTTCGAGCTCGGAGATTATGCGCGCTTCGAGAGTAGAAGTTACGGAGGATGAACATCCACGTGTATCTGTGGCCAAGTTTTGTAAAATCAATGCTTATTGATACTAGTTTAAGGGGATGCCGAAGTGGATGATGAACTTCAGAAATGTTGATAACGTAGAAGCAATCAAACACTAATATGTTCATATTTCATCTCATTTCTTGTAGATACTGATCCTATATAATCCTATATATCCTATATAAATGTGCTGCTCTATTTTACCATGCTAGCGGGAAACATAACCACGTATGTGTAAAAATCTTTTTGCAATCTTTTCGTATATTTTTGAGCTTCTCTAAATTCAATTTTAAAGATACTTAGAAATATTCCTCGAAATTTTTGTTAGCGGAACTTTTGTTTAGCGGAACAAACACATGTATGTGGTGCGTATAAGTTGCAGATCTTTTGTATCAAATAGATATTTACGCCAACTAGCAGCTCGAGTTACCAATTTTAACATTTTTATCGTCACACATTGAGCAATGCTCCAATTCATTATTGTACGTACTTTCAGTTTGTAAAAGCATTTGTAATTTACAACTAATACGACGTAAACTTTGTAGAAAAATGTCAGTATCTCGTCGGTAAAGTTTTCAAGTATGGCATTCCCTTAAACTACCCGACGTTGCCCGGCTTATCACCAAGTGTCAAGGGGATGAAATCAGGGGGAAGAGGTGGAGTGTTCATGGTAGTCTATATTTTCCACAGGGTCTCTTCGAGAATAACTATGCAAAATTTAGTTCAGATCGGTCAAAGGGTTTGTATAAAGGGAGTACATAAGGAATATTGTATATTATATATATATATATATATATATATATATATATATATATATATAGAGAGAGAGAGAGAGAGAGAGAGAGAGAGAGAGAAATTAGTACAGCATTATTGTACGAAATACTTATATTTTATATACGGAGAGAATTTTATAATAAAAGTTACTATAGAATTTTGTAATCCGGGAGATAGACCGCCATTCTGCAGTAACTAACAGTCCTTTTATTTCACATTTTGCATTTGCAAAATGCAAATGCTATTTGCATTTTAGAAAGTGAAATTTGCTATTAAAAAATATGCTATATTTCCAGCGAAGTTTACTGTGTTCCTTATCAAGGTAGATCCTACTGACAGTCTATTCCTGCTCCACTAGAAATATAGTAGAATTGAGAGGAACTTATACGGGAAAAGAGGAAAGTATAATATTCTCTCCGTCTACAAAGTAACTTGGTCAAGTAATTGACTACGATTAATAATTGACTATCGCCTCTGAAAAATCACATAATAATCGCGATAGCGTACGGTATTACGGGAGTTCCGGTAGACTTTGAAAATATCTCGGGCTTTTTTTTCCATTACGAAGTATGCACGTAGTCCAGGACCATTTTCTTAAATCTCGCAATTAATTAGGGCGTGCGAGCTGAGGTACAAAAGAGGTTGCCTAAGGAGTGGTCTGAAGAAGAAACCGCCCAACTTACCGAACTTTGGACGCAGTTCAAAGAAGACGACGGTAATTTTTTAAATTTATTTTCCCACGAAGCTAATTCCTTTGTTTTCGTTAAGCTGTTCCTCGATTTCTTTAGTCCCTTATATTTGCTCAGTGTGCGCATTCGCGTTCGGTCGATTATCTCCCGTAATTCCCTCTTTCGTTCGCTCTCGTCGTCCCGCGTGTTTTTTCCGATCATTAGTTTTTATTACCATTAAATTACTATTAAAATTGATCGTAACTATTAATCACGAGTAAATTGAATGAGGAGCGCGACTTGACGATAATCACACAGGCACCGACGGCATATCAGCACGGGTGCCGACGTCTGTCGACACCTGATCGTTATTCGTCGTAATTTCGAATTTATTTTGCGAATCACACGACGAAAAGTGGCTATGTTCCTCCGCCTTCAGCAGTGCTCGATATAAATTTCTTCGATGGAAGTTAGCCGTAAATTTCCGCGTTAATTTTCGCCGGTTATTCGCGTTCCGAAACTGTTGAAATATTTCGCGAATGCCCGTGCGCGAGAATTCGTTAACACCGGAACGATTCCTAGGATTTAATTAAGCTCCGAACATCGGACACGCTTGGCTGCTTGTAGTAATAATTTCGTATCCGCTGGGACGAGCGAAGAATAATATCCTTCCTGACAGAGACATTTTCAGAGAAGTCTTGTAAAACTTGTTTCATTTTCATACGAATTCGCCGCTCTCCATAACTTTTAATCTCCGAAGTCGCTTCCACGCCAAGCGTAATTCTCAAATGTCCGCGAAATGTCAAGGGCATTTTTCTCCGTCCTTCTTTCCAAAATCCCCGCAAAGTGTTTCATTTCACTTGACTACATTTTTACCGTGCTATTATGAACCCCGGAGCGCTTAAACGACGTGGAGAAAATAAGTGTCCGCAAAAGTGCCGTTCCGGAAGCGATAATTGAGGCGGAATTTCCGCTTTATCGCGCGGTATTTTCTCCATCGTGCCGTTTTTAGGAAAATTCGCGGACTGTGACGTGAGCGACTTTCAATTGAAATCGAGATCTCCCGTGCGATATCTGATCGGCGTGCGAATTACATTTCACCCGTGAGATACGTAAAGGAGGGGAGACCTTAGCCGTGAGCTTTAATTGATTCTAACTTTAAATCCCTGGGAAATCTCTGTCGATCGTCTCCGGCTTGTCCCGCATGCGACTCTCCCACGAAGCCTGCCTCCCTATCATCCGCGTTACGGCGCCTGCCGACACGACACTGTAAAAATCGAAACTACACCGTGTTCTCCCGATAGATCCCGTGGATTTGATTTTCACCGGCCTTAGAATAAAGCGGCCGAAGCCGAAGATCAAGGAGAAGCTTTTGGAATTAGGATTGGCGCAGGATCGCAAGGAGCTGCGCAAGAAGCGGTCTAGAAAAAGCAACCAGGGTGAGTGTACCATTCGTTCTTCCCTCATCACGATCCGGTCTGAAGCACCCCTTGTTCCGGCCAATCCCATCCCATTCCATTCGCATCTGTCTTTCTTACTATCCTCCGATTCCGCGACTATTCCCATTCGATCAGTCTTCTAGTAACGCGATTGCCGGCGACTGCATAGAGCGACTCGCTTTCAACGGGGGGAGCGGAACAACGTGAGACGGGGAACAAGAGGGAGGAAGTGAGAAGGAGCAAAGATCAATTTGTACAGGATTCCTTTCGCTCTCCTCCCATTGCGATTTCTTACGGGTCGAAAGAAAAAAAAAAAAAGAAAAAACGAGCCTTTCGCCGATATTTCGCCAACGGAGACAAGTCCGCTCGTATGTTTGCGAGATCATTTCTGTTTTCCTCTGCTATTCCCTGAGGATGGAGCGAGAGAAGAGCGTTTCTGGGAGAATTTTTATTTCTATATGCGAATTATTCTGCTCTTTGACTCTCCCCCCTTCTCTCTCTCTCTCTCTCTCTCTCTCTCTCTCTCTCTCTCTCTCTCTCTCTCTCTCTTTCTTCTCTCTCTCTTTCTCTGTACGTGGCGCTGCAAAGATGACGTGTGTCTCGTTGAAGCGCCCGTGGGACAGAGAAAAGCGAGGCTTTGAAAACTACGACGGATCGATATCCTTCAAAGTATCGATTTGAAAACTAGACGTATCGACCGCGTACACGCGTGAAGTATAATTTTGCAAAATTACAGACACATCCAGATGTGCGCATATCGGAGGCATCGCGCACAATTTCGAAAATAGTAATACGCATATTTGTGTATTTTCATATTAAATCCCTGTTTGCGCGCACGTTATACAGTAATTTGCGCGATAGAAATTATATAGAATTGGAATGCGCTGTGAACCGGATACTATTCCGGCGGTTTAACTATATCGAACTGCCGAACACAAATTATCTGCAATGCATTGTTATCTTCCACGCAACCGCATAAAAGATAACAATATGTGTGCACAGTCGTTCCTTCCCCAAAATATTCGCCCACAGTTGTTTACGGCAACCAGTAATAGCGACATCGCGGTTTGCGTGATTTTAACGCGTCAAAATTGATAATATATATACATAAATTTATTCTTTAGAACCGCGTTCCATTTTTCCCTCAAATTTATTAGAAAGTAATTATCACAATAAAGAAGAAAGAGAGAGAGAGAATTATAAAGTTATAAATTATAAAAATATTTTATTGTCATTAAAAAGAGCAAAATATAAAAATTTTAAGCATTTTTACGATATCTTATACGTTAATGTTAACATAACGCCAATTATTCAAACAAATTTATATTATCCAATTTCGCTCAAGAACATTAGAAATAATATTTTCTGTGCTCTCTGCCGAGTTACGTATTTAGAATTCATTAATACCATTGTGGTATATTAAATTTCGTAATTTAATATCGGCAACTGCGAATTCCAGTCGCACTTTCTCCGTTTCTGAATCAATATCATTCGCCTCAGCTTCCTATTATAGCGCCGGAAGGAATTTCATATTTATCATGGATATTGTTTTCCCCTCTCATGCCTTATTTGTATTCAATGCATCGAGATAGCTCATATCGTAGATATACAACTGTGAGATGAAGCATTGCCGAGAAGTTCGCTTTACGTGTCTTTGAAATAACATTTTCCCTCAATATCGTGTTTTGATGTAATTTCGCTCTCCATATGGCACTGTTACGGGGGAAAAATGTGCAGTTGTTTCTCACAACAAATGACATGTGCAAAAGTTAACTTGTTGAATATCTCGCCATTAAGATCCATAATACATGGATTTTTACCGTATCCAATGTCACACTTTGAAAACCCGACATCGCGATCAACCGACAAAATTAGGCTTCACCTACATCAGCAGAGAATCGAAGAGCAAATTGCTAATTATAAAAAAAATACACAAATATACCTTTCTCCTTCTCTACTCTTAGTTATAAAGTAAAATTTGGGAGAAATCACGCGATAGTGGTGGAAACCGATTGAAATTCAACAAGAGATTGTAACTCAGACACGCGTATCTCGACGCGACAGATCCAGAGAAAAGGTTTAAATTCGTCGTTCGATGTATTATAGATTTGACACGAGCTTCGGTACATATGTATATCTCACGTTTGAGATTTAATGTCACGTGAAATGCTCCGTGTACACACGCGCAAACGAACACGCACGTACGTAACGCGACACTGCTCTATGTATAACGTGCTTTACACACGCTGATGAACGCTTGCTCGAGAAAGGTTCACATCGTTTCCATGCATTGTGCGCAAAGGTAAATCGTCGTGGGAAACGCAAGCTGCCAGTAATTCTGACGGGAACGAAAGTTCAGCCACCGACGAAGACGGAGAAGAAACTCGAAAATCCTCGAAGCGCGACGGCGGCGCGCCTCGACGGAGCGAGCCGGCGAAAAAGAAGCAACAAAACAGGAGAAAGCTACCGACGGTCGTTTACACAGATGCACAATTATTCGGCCTCTTGAAGGACGTCATCGATAGGGGTAAGTATCGCTGCTCTCTCTCTCTCTTTCTCTCCCCCATCCCTTTTGTCGGTTCCTTTCCGACGTGCATCCGCCTCCTTATGATTAATGAATGCGCACTCGTCGCTGAAGCGCACGGCGCGTGCAACGTTATCCCTCGTCTACGTCCTACGTAAGGATAAATGTTCCCCTTTGCCGGAGAAAGGGATGGACGGGGCGATGATTTGCAGGAGCCATTACGTGAAAAAAGGAAAGAAAAATGAGAAAAAGGAGGTAATGACTTGTCGGGGAATTTCTCAAGTCACCGCAAGAAGTAACGCTGCGAACCTAAAACGGGGCTGATTGCTTCTCGCTAGATTTGTCGATTTAATCGAGCCGCGCGAGCCTGCGTATATCGTGATCCTTCAACTCGCGCGAACAACGAGTACCGTAATCGACGATATTTACGACGTCTGACAGAATTGCAAAACACGTGCCGGTGCTGAACGATAAAACTACGTCCCGTGAAATATCCGATCTCGCGAATAATATCGAAACATGGCGTGCGGTAGCTGATAATAAGCTGAAAGAAAAAAAAAACAGAAAGAAAATAACGCGGACGCGATCGAGGGAGGATCCGTACGGGACGGAACCGTTGACGGTAAAAATTAAAGTGGAAAATGTCATGGGAAAAAATCTCGCGATAAATCAGACATGGGGGAGGCGCTGGAATGGATCAAGGAATCCCTGCAAGATATCCTGGACGATCGTGACGAGGAGAGCTCCGAAGGCATACCCTTGGTGCCGCTGACAGATCACTCGTCGGCCGCGATGGATTCGCCGAGTTTTCAAAAGCTCCTCCGTGCCATGGGATTTGTACCACCGGCTGATGCCCAAGAATCTTATTGGCGCGTCCCGGCAAATATGCTCGTAACCATGATTCAAAAACGTTGCAAACTTATCGAGGATGTTTTAGCTGGTGAATTTGTCGTCGCGGGTAAGTAATTCCGAAACATTCACGGTGGCGCGCGTTCCAATGACGATTATCTATCGAAGCGTATTTTCGTAGAGACGCCGGCAGAACCGCGCGGTACAGGTGATTTCGACAGCGACGGAAAGTTGGACGACAGCGAGGACGATACCGACGTGTTCGAGAATGTCAAGAAGTTCTTCGCGCCCAAAGGTCAGTTGTATTTTCCTCGATAACTCGATGACATTATCGGGAAAATTTCCACCGCGAAATTCTTTTTTCGAGTCATCTGACAGATTCTCGGCGGGCGCGCGCGAACGAATTTGACGTTGAGAAGTTAAGAAATTCCAGCTCGCATATGCGAACATTTGATTCTAGAAAGAAGAATTTCTCTTTTTTTCTTGTTTTCAATGCAACATCACGTGGCATGTGACGTATGATTCCTTACAAATGCAGTACATAGGAATCCGCAAAATTCGAATCGTTTTCAGAACCAGTACCGTCAACTTCCGGCCAGTCAAAATCGATTGTTCGAACGCAATTGTCTCAAAAATCCACAAAGTCTCCGACGTTGGATGAAGAAAGCGATGCGGAAATTACGGGAGAAATCAGTGCAGGTACGTCGTTATCAATCGATAATACTTCTTCCTGAGAACCAGAATTATACTTTCTCGCCCTCTGTCACTCAAGCGCACAAACCGGCCGGCTGGCGAGCCGCTTTTCCTTCATCGTGAATTTACCGACAAACGAAACGGTTTAGCAGGAACGAACAAGTTTAAAGTCTAAGCGATAACTTTTACTATATAGTGATTAAAATTTTTAGCGGACGCAAAAAGTAAAGCGAAAAATCGCGCTATTGTACTCGATGATTCCTCTGAGTCCGAAATGGAAATTGAAAGGAACGTTGATGATAAAAACGGTCAGTAACATATGTTGATAAGAAGTAAAAATTGGTCGACGCTTAGTACACTAAAACTCAAGTTGCCTGTGCGTTTTGTAGACGAGGTAAGAAGCATATCCGATTCTTCAGACACGGATAAACCGTTGAAGAAGAAACGGCGATTACTCGACAGCGACGAGGAGACAGAATCGCTAAGGAACGAAAATATCGAGGTAAACGGCGCTCGTATAGTAATCAGCGACGACGACGAAGAATCAACGTCCAATATACGATCGAAACGACCTAAGTCGTCTCATGTAATAATCAGTGACGAGGAGGATTAGGCGATCGCACATATTTCTTGTATAGCAGTTTCAATTTCTTTCATACAAACGTTTGGAATATAACTTACTCACCGTTTCGTACACTTCTCAAGAGCCACGAAAGACTGCTGAAGCAAAAAGTCAGGCGAATAAAAACAACAATGCATTATTAAAGATTATATTCTGGGAATTCTCCACACGAGATGACAGGAGCCCGTCGTGTTTTGAAGGCTGTTTATGCGATTTTTTATGCAGGGTTTCATCGTTTTTATCGTTTTGTTAGCTTCAGTTGAGAAGATGAGACGTGTCGACAAGCAAACTCCGTTGACAGGTATCGGCTTTACCTACGGGCAAGACATACTGGCAAAACCTACAGGTAAACCCGGAGTCGGGAGCGGTTCAATAGCCGCCTATGCACTTCGTCAAGGTCCCGCGTGTTCTCCTCGGTCGCGATACGCCCTTACGGACGACCAGTCGCGCCCGGGGTACACTTCAGGGTGCCAAGAAAAACAGTTCCCGAAAGGCGTCCACATTTCGCCAAGTAACGACGAAGAGAACATGCGAGCACGGCTGGTGTGTCGTCGACGGTGCGCCGCGCGCGGCATTGCCGACTGCATCGCGGCCCCGCGGTCGGCCAGCACCTCCTCGACCGCATGCTCCCCGGCTCCGCGGTTAGCCAATGTGGATGACTTTACGTCTTTTGATGGGCAGGTGAGGAGTCTTGGCGAGTGTTAACGATACGTACGTGCGCATCGAGACGTAATCGCGCGACGAAAGACCAGCCCTCGCCTTTTTCGATAGCACCTTTGACGGCGGACGGCATCGTCGACCGCCGACCTACGCGAAACAACGCGTAATGTCGTCGCAAGGACTTCGCGAGTCGCGGATACGCGACCAGGCGATCATGGCGGGCCAAGAATCGTGAAAAACCTAGGCCGCGAACCTAGTCGCGAATATATTCTTACGTATGACAATGCGAAGCTACACCCGCATGAATTCCCGCGGCTATGTCAGGCGTGCGCAGTTCGTGGAAGACGATCATCTCGCATGCTCGATGATGGGCAGGATCCATTTGACGCTGTGAACACTTCGAAGCGCCGTGCAGACCAATTGTGATCTTCCTTTGTGCGCTACACAACGTGTGTAGCTTTAAACGGATCTTACCCGGCAAGAGAAGGTCACATCAGATCCGTTCCTTCATTTCCTTGCATTTCCGATTCTCGTCCCATTTGAGTAGTTTAATAAAGAAATGACATTACAATTAAGAAATGAAATAAATTCAATAAAATAAAATGACAGAGATCATTATTTTGAATTACCAATTATGGCAATAAGACAAACAGTAGTGTATCCTTTCGTCGCATGCCTTCAAGATTTAACCGACACCATCATCGCAACATGGGATCGAGTCTCAGCACAGATATATCAGCGGCCCTTCCAGGTAAGTAACGGTAGTAGCTAAAATTCAGCATTTGAGTTCTCCCGTTACGTATTCACTTGCGCGTCGTATCCAAGTGCCGCCGGACGGCGGCTCGACGGTAACCACCGATCGAGTTCCCATCTTCGTCGCTGCAAAACGACCGAATTCCAGAAGGGTGACGACGTGCATTCTAATCTCAACTTTCGTCTGCTAGGCGCGCATGCCGCTGCAAGAGGCAGGCTGCATCGCGGCGAGTCCACTCGCGAATCAATATTCCTCAGAAGTGGCATGTAGCGCCGTGATAAGATAACATGCGTAGGAGCTAGTAGCACGTAACCTTCGTCATCTCATGCTCTCCTGATAGAAGCGCGGGCTCCTTATACGGTTGTAGGTGGATGGCATCCTCTCTCTTTGTCCCCACTCCGCCAGCCGTATTCCACCCCACCGTCTGTTGCTCACTGCACTTCTCATGAGGTCGACGAGTTTCAGTGGGAGGAAACGGCGGGAGGGAGTGAGTAAGTCTCGTGGATGGGGAGAGAGAAGAGGGGAAATTCGTGCGCTATATATGTAGAGGTCTACTGATATAAAGGCTTAACATAGACATGATATCTAAGTTACGATTTACATTTTATATATATATATATATATATATATATATATATATATAATCTTGTTATTCGAATACTCGTCCAATCATTATTGTTACAACATTTTTGCAAGCAATAAATGGAAAGTTTATTTTCTTTTTATTATATTGAGTATTGGTTATCGATAAAAATAATTGATATTGATACATGCAGTTAAAAAAACGTATAAAATGTATAAAAAATGTATAAAAAAAAACGACGTTCACAATTCGATCGTTTTTATTGAATGTACGAACAGATCTGTTATAACGTTTTATTATTATTGTAATAGTGATAACTACGGAAACGCGTATCAAAAGTTTGGGCCAACTATGAAAAATTAATAAATTTACAATTTGAAATGTCACACAGCGCCTTAATTCAACGCGCTCGAATTCTTTGTCGTGAAAATTAAAGTAACCAAGGCTCAGACAGTTTGCAACTCGCAATTAACGTAATCAGTGTATCGCTGTATTTGCATGCGCTTGAAATGTGCGAATTATCTGCCGGTTAACGTCTTATTAGGTAAGTATAAATAAAAGTAGGTTGACAAGTTTTCTGTTAACAATCAACAGATTTACCAGTTTAATACGACAACTGCTAAGTATAGTAACATTTAATCGTACTGACCTATTATCCAAATTTTCTATAAAAAGGAATTATTTTTTTTAATTGCCATATTTTTTTGTAAATAAGAATTTTTTGTAACATGACAATGAAAATTTTAGAACATTGTAGAATATATTATTCTGTAACGAGTATCACATACTAAACATAGCTTAACTTTAGCTATTATATCAGTTAACATATATAACAATGGTTTAGATTAAAAACAATTTTTCTACTTAATAACGATATAATAACGATACAACTAGCAGCTGCTGGCTCTTATCCTTCCTCTTTATCAGAGAGTTGCCGCAGCATTATAGAGTTTGACAATGCCAAAGTAATAACCTGTAAGTTTTATACATATATTTAAGAATAAAGTTTATAGTAATTTGTTGTATATTAGTGTATATGTGGACAAATTACAATTATAATATATATTTATATTAAATATTTACTTTTTAGTAACAATGTTTAATGTGTTATAATGATGGGTGCGGTAATAATATAAAATTGATGATATCGGCGATACAAATGAAGTTGTAGTTACTTACGGCTCTGAAAGTTTCCATTGAAAGTACGTAAAACGGACCACCGGTCAAAATAATCGGCTTCTGTGCTTGAACTATTATCATTTGTGCTAATATATGGATATCACTGGACTTAAATTGTTTATTGGTATTCGATTCCTCCTTTTGGTCGAAAATCGCAACCTCCCATCCGCAGGAATGTATCGAAATGGGAATTAGCGATGTCTGAAATAGTATAACAAATTAAAATTGATGACAGTGATTCGACAGTGATTTCGTGTGGGAAATCCGATATTCTATTGTACAGTTTTTAATTGGAAAATTCTTAGAAATTCATAAGAAAAAGATGAATTTTTAGTACTTTCATGTACACAACTAACCAAATGTGTAATTTGAGTAGCGAAGAAACAGAAGAACCCCAATTGAACAGAGATGGCTATGAAGTATAGCAATAGATTAATCAATACAAGCAAATTTTCTTCGTCCATCTATTAGAAGGCGAATTTTTTTAGTTTAATCACCAAAACTTTAGAGAAAAACATAGAGTACAATGAAATTATACTGAAGACATCAATAAAACAATTGGTACCGTAAGTTTAATCGCTGATGCTTCAAATGAGAGGAAACAAACAACAATTGTTGTTTCGATGCATTGAATGAACATTATTGGACTGGCAAAAGTTTGCAACTTGTTTAAAAATCTAGAATTACATTTTTCTCTTTCAAAGATGTTACTACTTGTATAAGATTATATGTTATATTTCAGGATTTATAAATCTTATCAAAAATTAATAGTACATAACGTTATATTAAAATTCTCCTAAAATTGTTTCGTCATAATTATTGAAAGTAAAGAAAGTAAAGTATTACTCTATGATTTCCACATGGCAATCGACACAATTTCTTAATTTTTTCCTGAGCATGCATACAGCCTCTGACGCTCTACAATTTCAATATTTTATTTTCATACATTTGACATCTAGCAATATTAATGAGCAAATATATGAAAGATAATCTTCAATTGTATAATAATAATTTTACCGTTTGTTCTCAAGGAGATGAGTTTTAGTTAGTGTCCTATTGATGTATCGAAGTTGTGCAGAGGTGATAATCAACATTGAAACATAAAATGAATCGAAACAATAAATTGCAACTATACAAGACAACATTCCGACTGCCTCTACCATATACAGCAAAATATAATTAAAAATATTCTGAGTATCTAACGGAAACCATGCGATATAAGGCAAATCTCTGTCTGTAAATGTATCATTGATCAAGTATATCTTGTAAGTTCCTGATAGTAACGGGGCGACACACCACTGAAGAACTGTGAAGTTACACATGCATGACCACCATAAGAAGAAGATGTTGCAGTGCCGCCGTGCACATTCAACTTCATTCTTATAAGCTTCTTGTTCTAAAAAATTGTCGTTCTTGTAATCTTGATCACACAAAACTAAATATTAATGAAACACGGAAAAAAAAACTTTATGCGTTATATCAGAAAGCTTATTGCATCTCCGATGGAATTGTTAAAAACTACAACTTGAAAATATCCCAATTTTAAATCATGACTAGTCATACATGTTAGGTCGTAAACAATAACCATAATCTCTTTCGATATTCTCAAATCGGTAATACATGAACTACAAGAGTTGTTTTATAGAATAAATCTAAAATTACATACAAAGAGATATATGGATAACAATGAGTAGCTTACGTGCCTTCCACAGTACTATCAACACGTTGGCAAAGCACATGACATCTTTCCAATTTCTGCGTGATACCAAAAAGCTTTCTGTTGTTTGTTGTACAATATATCCATTTTATTGAGCCCACGACATGTGTAGCGATTATACTGACAACATCAGCAAACTGATTTGCATCCACACCTACTATAATTATTCCAATTTCCGCTATTAGATTCACAAATATCAATACAATAAAGAAAACCGATAATCCCGTTAAGAACATTATCTTAATTGTCAAGAACTGCTCGGATGCGTACATCCGGCTGTTCTTGAGCATCGCCAGCAACCACGGAAAGTAATGCTCGACGGACAACGTGTGTTGCCCCTTGTGCGCTTCGTCATCCTGGCTCTTCCGATTTATACTTGGCAGGTGTTCCGATTCATACCTGAAAAATCGGAGCGTAAGCGTCGCATAAGGACGTCAAGTCGCCTTCTGTTCGTGCAAGAAATATACGACAGTGGTTACGCGCGAGTACACGAAGGATAATTCGGCTCTTGTTTCGCATATTCCCCGGATACATATACAACGGACAATTACGTATGATACGACAGACGACCGGAGAATTATGTACATGCGTACCTAGTCAGACTGAGATCCCAAGGCGGAGTGTTTAACAGCGAGAAACGAGACTATATGACAAATGCACTTGTGACTTGTGTGATCAAATAGAAAGGAATGCATTAAATGAAAAGTCTTAAATAAGTCGTGTCACGAGAAATTAACGGGGAAAATGTTTTTCGAAAATATTTTAAAGATTTTTTTATTACCGTACATCATTCGCGTTTTTGTCGTTCTTGTAATCTTGATCACACAAAACTAAATATTAATGAAACACGGAAAAAAAAACTTTATGCGTTATATCAGAAAGCTTATTGCATCTCCGATGGAATTGTTAAAAACTACAACTTGAAAATATCCCAATTTTAAATCATGACTAGTCATACATGTTAGGTCGTAAACAATAACCATAATCTCTTTCGATATTCTCAAATCGGTAATACATGAACTACAAGAGTTGTTTTATAGAATAAATCTAAAATTACATACAAAGAGATATATGGATAACAATGAGTAGCTTACGTGCCTTCCACAGTACTATCAACACGTTGGCAAAGCACATGACATCTTTCCAATTTCTGCGTGATACCAAAAAGCTTTCTGTTGTTTGTTGTACAATATATCCATTTTATTGAGCCCACGACATGTGTAGCGATTATACTGACAACATCAGCAAACTGATTTGCATCCACACCTACTATAATTATTCCAATTTCCGCTATTAGATTCACAAATATCAATACAATAAAGAAAACCGATAATCCCGTTAAGAACATTATCTTAATTGTCAAGAACTGCTCGGATGCGTACATCCGGCTGTTCTTGAGCATCGCCAGCAACCACGGAAAGTAATGCTCGACGGACAACGTGTGTTGCCCCTTGTGCGCTTCGTCATCCTGGCTCTTCCGATTTATACTTGGCAGGTGTTCCGATTCATACCTGAAAAATCGGAGCGTAAGCGTCGCATAAGGACGTCAAGTCGCCTTCTGTTCGTGCAAGAAATATACGACAGTGGTTACGCGCGAGTACACGAAGGATAATTCGGCTCTTGTTTCGCATATTCCCCGGATACATATACAACGGACAATTACGTATGATACGACAGACGACCGGAGAATTATGTACATGCGTACCTAGTCAGACTGAGATCCCAAGGCGGAGTGTTTAACAGCGAGAAACGAGACTATATGACAAATGCACTTGTGACTTGTGTGATCAAATAGAAAGGAATGCATTAAATGAAAAGTCTTAAATAAGTCGTGTCACGAGAAATTAACGGGGAAAATGTTTTTCGAAAATATTTTAAAGATTTTTTTATTACCGTACATCATTCGCGTTTTTGTCGTTCTTGTAATCTTGATCACACAAAACTAAATATTAATGAAACACGGAAAAAAAAACTTTATGCGTTATATCAGAAAGCTTATTGCATCTCCGATGGAATTGTTAAAAACTACAACTTGAAAATATCCCAATTTTAAATCATGACTAGTCATACATGTTAGGTCGTAAACAATAACCATAATCTCTTTCGATATTCTCAAATCGGTAATACATGAACTACAAGAGTTGTTTTATAGAATAAATCTAAAATTACATACAAAGAGATATATGGATAACAATGAGTAGCTTACGTGCCTTCCACAGTACTATCAACACGTTGGCAAAGCACATGACATCTTTCCAATTTCTGCGTGATACCAAAAAGCTTTCTGTTGTTTGTTGTACAATATATCCATTTTATTGAGCCCACGACATGTGTAGCGATTATACTGACAACATCAGCAAACTGATTTGCATCCACACCTACTATAATTATTCCAATTTCCGCTATTAGATTCACAAATATCAATACAATAAAGAAAACCGATAATCCCGTTAAGAACATTATCTTAATTGTCAAGAACTGCTCGGATGCGTACATCCGGCTGTTCTTGAGCATCGCCAGCAACCACGGAAAGTAATGCTCGACGGACAACGTGTGTTGCCCCTTGTGCGCTTCGTCATCCTGGCTCTTCCGATTTATACTTGGCAGGTGTTCCGATTCATACCTGAAAAATCGGAGCGTAAGCGTCGCATAAGGACGTCAAGTCGCCTTCTGTTCGTGCAAGAAATATACGACAGTGGTTACGCGCGAGTACACGAAGGATAATTCGGCTCTTGTTTCGCATATTCCCCGGATACATATACAACGGACAATTACGTATGATACGACAGACGACCGGAGAATTATGTACATGCGTACCTAGTCAGACTGAGATCCCAAGGCGGAGTGTTTAACAGCGAGAAACGAGACTATATGACAAATGCACTTGTGACTTGTGTGATCAAATAGAAAGGAATGCATTAAATGAAAAGTCTTAAATAAGTCGTGTCACGAGAAATTAACGGGGAAAATGTTTTTCGAAAATATTTTAAAGATTTTTTTATTACCGTACATCATTCGCGTTTTTGTCGTTCTTGTAATCTTGATCACACAAAACTAAATATTAATGAAACACGGAAAAAAAAACTTTATGCGTTATATCAGAAAGCTTATTGCATCTCCGATGGAATTGTTAAAAACTACAACTTGAAAATATCCCAATTTTAAATCATGACTAGTCATACATGTTAGGTCGTAAACAATAACCATAATCTCTTTCGATATTCTCAAATCGGTAATAC